GGCAGCTGGATCCTGTTTGATCCCATTTGTAGTTTTTCTAACACTTGCAAGCTAGACTTGTCATGCCCCTCCAAGAGACTCCAGCACCAGCTACCCAGTGCTTCCTCCTAGAGGCCTGAGTTCCAGGCACACCGGGCCTCCATCCAATATTTGAAAACTCACAGACTAGCACCAAGTGGCCAGTGCCCCCTCCTGAGGGCTCCGAGTCCCAAGTCTGGATCCGATCTTTCTCTGAACAGATCAGTGGAAGCAGGTTGCCCTCCTGTGTCTGAAGAAACTAGCCTTCCCCTGTTGGAGAACTTTCTCATGAAATGTCTCATGAACTGAAATTCCTTAATAGCATCTTATGTTTTGAATAATGTCTTGACCATAAGTTGAATCATTGAGGTAAGGAATCATGGATAGAAAAAAAAAACAAAGCCTCAGAGTCTTTCCTTGTTCAGGGGAAGCCCCATATTTTGTCTAGCAGTAGATTCATTTGCTGTCCTCAGGCAGACCCTGGTTCACTAGTGACCATTGGATACAGTTGCATAGATACTATGCAGTCATGAAGGTCTCTTTCTCAACCATTGACTCACACTTTGCAAACAGCTGGTAAAAATTCAGAGCTTAAAGATTACATTTATTCCCAGGCACCAGAGTTTCCATCTACCATCTATCTATTTATCTATCTATCTATCTGTCTATCCATCTATCATCTATCTATCTATCTACCATCTATCTATTGGATACCTGTAGCATTAGAATACACACAAAGGGTCAACATGTCTGTTGTCTTCTGCTTCAAATCTGGGGCATATGCTTCACTTATGAGGAAACTGGTGACCAGTACTACAGAGAACCATTTCTTCAACCTTATATAACTACCCAAGAGAAAGAGTACTTAGAAATGCAATTATCTGAGAAATCCATGCATTGTCCAACAACTGCATGAACTGATGATTTTTTTACATGACTCACTTTGAAATGAACAAGTCAACCTTCAGAAAATACATAGTTCAGTCAGACATTTGTCCATTGAAATCTTTTGCCTTTGGCTGAGCACTGAGCTGATCTCTCCCTGAATATCTCTTCTTCCTCTGGAGCCTCCACAGGGCAGTGGTCAATAGCTTTAACGGTCTGAACCTGCTAAGAATTTGATGAGCTCTCCTTTCTGATCTCTGATTTCCTGTATGCTGATACCTTCTCTTGATTAAGTTTGCTTTCCAGCAGAGCCTAAGACAAGGGTTTCTCTGTAGGCACTTTATTTGGGAGGTGACTCCAGGATGGGGAGAGTGAGACAGCAAGGAGAAAAAGCAAGGATGAGTGGAAGTTATCTCTCTGGGTAGCAGGCTCAATTCTGTCAGGATTGTGAGAAGCATATAGAATGTGTCCCAGACCTGCCCGCCAAAGGCCAGAGCTCAGAGTATTTCTCTACTGGCTCCTATTGCCTATTGGTTGAAGCCCACCCAGGGATCTTCACTGTCTTGCACTTCTGGGCCACAGGTATGGTGGGATAATGTGGGAATGTGGAAAGATGCAGCACAAGCTGGAGGGGCTGTCCCAGTTCATACAGAACAGTCCCCCGCAGCTGTGGCTCCAATTAGAAGGGTGGATGGGATAGATGTCACCAGAGGTGAGCAGCTGGCTTTGCAGCCAGACCTCCTCAGATCAAACCCTCAGCTCCGTCACTGATTAGCTGTGAGACCTCAGTCAAAAAGCCAAACATCCCTTTTCCCATTGGAAAATAATAGTACTATGCCTCATAAGTATTGTGCTCAATAAAGATTAGCTGTGGTTACCAAACAACAGTCTCCTAGTCTAAATTGTGTCTGGGACTCCCTTTTCTCTTTCAAAGCAAACCAACTTCTTTGGGCTTCTGTAGTTTCCTAGAGAAATGTGAACCCTGTGTGAACACACACTGATAAAGCATGCCTTCTCTCTCCTGCTGCATAGAACAGGGTCTTGCCACTTAGCTGCCTCTTTGAAGACTCCCACATGGTCTCCCTTCTCCTTTTTCATTCCTCTGCTTCTGTCCTGGACATTTCTGCCCTGTCTGTCCTCTGGGTGCAGAGTAGCTGCAGAGCTCAACCCCTCAATATGCCTTCCTGCTGCTGCTGCCTGCAGCCCTGTGGAGCTGTGTTATATTGTACTTTCTTCAAAAATGTACTGCAATCCACTGTACTTTCCTGCAAGTACTGATATAAACATTTTTCTGCCAGAATCTGGTAACATTCTAATACTGTCAGTACTTAGATTAATGTTGACACTTTTGTTGACCCTCTGAATACTGATAAGCAACAGTTGTTCAGCTAATGTCAGTGTTCAGGGGCTAAACCTTCCAAGTTGATTATAACCGCTCTAGAGCTTACTTACTGCTGGAAAAACGTGTCACATCTTCTTGTAAACAGCGGTGGTTTTCTTTTTTGGATATTAAGAGTTGTATAAAAAGTAAGCTACTTTTTTTTTTACCTTGGCTACCAGGATTCTCTGAGCTAAATTTATGTCACAGTATAACAATTATGCTTCACTGCTGTTTTCTGATATATCCAGCTTTTTCTTCTAGATATTTAATTCTTACTTTAATTGTCTTGATATATAAATGTTTTTATTGTAGGCTGACTCAAATCCTCTTAGAAGCAGTGTGTAGGTAGAAAATGATGCCTGAATTGTTAGATGTGTCTCTACCCCCATGAAAATAGACAACCACTGTTGGTTGGTTGGTCTTCCTGAGTATAGCATCTTTCAAAGCCAGTTACCCAAGATGTTGGTAGTTTCCATTCTACCACTTGTATTCAGAAGACATGTGGTGTTTTAGTTAGGATATTTTTGGTTGCAGGTTACGAAAAATCCCATTTAATGTCCCAGCTTGAACTCTAGAGGAGATTCACTATGTTTTGTGACCGAAGGGCTTGATGGGCTCCAGACATGGTTTGATCAGGTTTCTACTTTGGGCTCTATTTCTCTTAGTTTCTCCTAGCTTCTCTTTCCCCTGTTTGCTTTTTTCTTGAGGCTGGCTTCCCTCCGCAGGGGTGGGGGCTTGCAGCTGCCTCTGATGAAGATCTTCTGCTTGGGCCACATTCCGTGGGAGCCCATCCCTGAGCCAAACCACCACAGCCAAGAGAAGGGCCCCGATTGGGCTGGACTGGTCAGGACCTGCCTGCAGCTGTGACCTCACGCAGGGTCCCCAGGAACTGCACAGTAGGGTGGGGTGGGGCGGACTGAAAGGCAAAGAGGGAGGCTAATTTCTCACTCCACTGGACAGGGATAATGGAAAGAGAACAAGAGAAGGAGTGACCTACTGTGAGTACAGCTTCTACAAAATTATGTATATGGGTACTTATTTGGAATGGACAATGCCAGATTTTGCCTTGATAGGCCTTGTATGTTCTATCAGAACACTGTCACTCTTTTGTTGGCTTCCAGGAAGAATTTGCCTTATGATGCCTCTAGAATGGGGCAGGTGGAAAGCTTCCCGCCATTATATTTCTTATATGTAACATTTTTCCACCAGACGTTTGCAGTTTTATAGGATCCATGAAACCAATTCACATCTGATTTGAGATTTGTTTTTGGTACATCAGAGGAGAGCGATTTCCATGTGCCCAGGAACAAACAGCCTGGTGCTTGGCTCAATGTATCTGCTAATTGCTTTACACCAGAAGAATCCTTAAAGCAGTAAGTACACTTCTGCAAAGAATGCTCAGAAAGGGTTCTGGACACTTTTTTCTCTTAATTAACAAAGAAATATTCTAATTCTTTATAGAAAAGAACCTTTTTCTTTCCAGTTCCTATATTTTCCAATATCTGGTAATAGTTTATGTCCGAAGTAAGCATTTAATGGAGGGCTATCAGAATTTATGGAAAAGAAGAAGCCTCATGTGTGTATGGCACATACACCAAGGCACATGGATGATTGTTTCCTTTACTTCCAGCATGTGTTTCACTGATGGACTAGAGGTAGGACAATGGCCTCTGTCAAAAACCTTTTCCTGGGGGAGGACTCTGGCTTTTGAGTTCCTATACAGAACTGTGGCTTGGCAATATGCCACAGCATAGGCAGTGTTGGATTTAAAAGCAAAATGATCCAGGGTGGGAGAATGGGCATATTGGCTGCATGAGGATGGAACATGCCCCAGGAGCCAGCCTTTGCTATTTCTGTAGTCTGACTGTGGGGTTCTGAGCACTGGTCCCCTCCAGGTAAGGCCTGGAGCTAAGTATGCACCTTAGCGGCTTTGTACTGTGAGGAAAACCAGGCCAGAGTAGCCTAAGGCTGTCTTTATAACAGGGAAGATGCTGGGTATTCTAGGTGTTGTTATCATCTTTTCACTAATTACTGTCAACTGCTTAACACCTCTCCCCACATGTCTTCACTTCCACCTAAAAAAGGAGGCATGAGGAGATCAAAAAGGCCATTTGTTGAAGCCACTGTGTTTTTGGTGATGGAACAAGACAACCAGTGAACCAGGACTATTTCTTTCCCTGTGAAACATTGCTGCACACCTATGCCAGTAAATGCAAGTCCCCTCCCAAATGGAGCCAGTTGGAGATATGTGTGCAGGTGCTTATGTGAGTGCAGCCATGGGGGTGCCAAGGAAGACAAGGGAGGACTGGGAAGTCAGGTTGGGCCTGGGGAGCCAGGCCAGCTGGAAGGCTTACCCTCAAAGGGAGCAGTTGTGAATGGCTCTGGACTGGTCTGCTTGGGTCATGAACTGACTCTGTGTTGAAACTCTGGTTCTTGGGGCCCAACTGTTGATCAGGGCCCTGAGGCAGAAGCCCATCATATGAATATTGTGAATGCTGGAATTTCTAGAAAGACCTTTATGTAGGGAGGTCTGTGTGGGAGAGTAATTTCAAACTGTCTAGTCTTTAGCAAAATCTGGAAGATCACTCAAGACTATGGTGGTATTAATACATCTACAGCTCTGCTTGCTAATGATTAAACTGGGATCTTGGGAATGCTGGTCCTTGGGCTCTGACTGGGCCCAGTGTCCTGAAGAATTGCTTTCACCTAATTTCAGTTTCAAGGTCAAGCCATCACCTGATGTGCTGATGAGGACATTCACTATGTGACACAGTCTTTGCTTTATGGGCGCCCTCAGGAGAAATGTGACCTACTTGAAGAACAGGAAGAGGCACTTCTCAGCATGAAACTTATTTTTATCTTAAGGACACTGTGAACCAGGTAAGCTTCTCTCAGTGTTTGAAGTTTCTTAGAGCCAAAAATGAGTGTTAAGTAAGTGTATAGGGTTTAGGGTATGTATTTTTATTTTTACTTATTCCCGGCTCCCTTTTATACCTTTGTCCTTGGTTCAGGCTTTCTTTTTCATCTACTTCTTGTTTATGTTACCTTAATGCATTTTAAGTATCCCTTTAGGTTGCCTTCGAGTGGTGTGCTAGAACTTTTGTGGTTATTAAATGAGCCCCTTGTTAGATAGTTGATCGCTTGAAATCAGTCATAGTGGGAGTTATTACACCATGGGTATAGGCAGACACTACAAATAGGTCTTTTTTTTCTTTCAGAGAACTAGTTTACTGGCATACTACTATTTATATCCTCTACCAGAAAAGGTAGAGTCTTAATAAATGTGTGTTTTAAAAAATACTATGAAATGATCTATCTTATTTAGATATTATATATAATTTGAAATCTTAAGAACAGTGGCACTGTTTTGGATTCAAAATATTTCAAGGGTAAATAAATTTATGAGATTGTTTCTATTGATGGCAAGAGAAAAATGGGATTCATTCAAAATGTGCTTTCTAGTCAACATGCCCATCATGCAACTGTTCTGTAAAGGAGGATATTTACATATGTGCCTGTGGTGAAAGCTGTTTACATCTCTGTTTATCACATTTTAAGCTGTAAAGTGTGGTAGAGCTAAGATTTTGGTAAGTCTAGCCATAAGAGAAGCAATTCAGTGTGAGATGGTTGTTAAGGGACCATTCAATGCAAATTAGAAGTAATAAAAGCTCTGGTTTAAAAGGGCAGAGAATTAGGGCAAGGAAGGAAAATGACTGCCTACAGAGGACAGGGTTTTACAGAGACGAATGTGGGTGCTTGCTACATGGCTCTTCTTTCTGCTCTGTCCAGGAACAGAGAGCCAAGCAAGAGTGGGGACAGTGTGGGGTTGAGGAAGCCTGCAGTCACTTCTGGCAGGGTACAGGCTACCCTAGTCTCAGTTTGCCTTGGAATAAGTGCAAGTAGCTGCAGAAACTATGCTTGTTATCCAGAGTTGGCAGCCCAGCAATGCAAACTTCAGCATCAGCATGAAAGAGAAGAGAAAAACATCTTTGATAGTAAAATGGCAATTCCTGGGCCACAAACAACAGTACTGAAGACAGATAGAAAGTGCCCCAAATCTGAAGATCCCCCATAGGCATTGTAATGGGACAGTTTATTGATGAGGGAACAGCTAACATGCACTGATTGCCAGGTACATGGCTGTGCTAATAAGCACTCGCCTTGTGTCAACCCATTTAATTCTTTCTCTGTAACAAAGAAACTGAAACACAGATGGGTGAAGTCACTTGCCCAAAGTACTCAGTGAATAAGAGAAGGAGCCAAGATATGGGCCTCTGCTCCTAACTTCAAATCAAAAGAAGGATTTGGGTAGATGGTGTCCATCTTAAAACAGCTGTTTTACTAGCAAAATACATTTATTCAGGAATAGTAGAGGAATTGTGACAACCAAATTATGATCAATTCCTCATGATACTCAAGATGATGAAAGCTCAGAGAGGTGGATGGTGTGGTCAGGATCACATAGCAAGTTGGGGTTGTGGCAGGCAGAATAATGGCCCCCAAAGAGGTCCACATCCTAGTCCCCAGAATCTGTGAATATGTTCTCTTACATGGCACAAGGGATTTTTCAGATGTAGTTAAGGATTTTGAGTTGAGGAGATTAACCTAGAGTAACCACATGTAGTCACAGGGTCCCTGTAAGAGGGAGACAGGAAGGTCAGAATTAAAGAGGGAAATGTGACAACAGAAGCAGATGTCAGAGCCATTCAGCCATGAGCCAAGGAATGCAACTGACTTATAGAAACTGGAAAAGCAGGAAACAAATTCTCCCCTATAGCCTCCAGAGGGGATACAACGCTGTCAACACTTTGATTTTAGCCCTGTAAGACTTACACCAAACTTCTGATACCCAGAACTGAAAGACAGATTTGTGTTGTTCTAAGTCATTAATTGTGTAGTATTTTGTTATTCCACAAAACTGTAAGACTAGACTAGAAGCAGCAATAGAAAACTGGTGCAGGGGTAAAGCTGGCATCAAGTGCTCTCTCCTGACGTCTATTCCAGTGGCCTTCCTGCGTTAGCTCTGAGCTGGTCAGGAGGCGTGGTGAGTCCTTGAGCAGGTTGGAAGCCCCTGGCCTGGCACAAGTCCTGTGCTGAGACAGGTCTGGCAGGTGATGGAGGGTCTACAGGGTGAGGAAGCCTCTCTCCAAAGGGTGTGGCCCACTCCAGTGTGATGCAGACGAGGACAGCCACCAGAGTTTTGAGACTAGAATCCAGAATGTCAGTGCTCAGGAGTTAGGATATAATGCCTAAGTGGTCAGGGGACCATGGACTAGGGATCAAGATGCCCACTGAAGTGGGGCAGAACTTCTGCCCCTGAACAGTGCTCCTGGGCTGGAACCAGAGCAGAAATGAGTGGGGTGCATGGGTGGGAGGCTGGGCCTACAGAGATGCACAGGAGCCCCACAATGGTCCCTGGTACCAAACGCAGTGAGTGAGACCTGGGGATGATGAAGTGGTCGGCTCCGGGGCCCTCAGCTTGGGGCCAGGGGGAGGCTGGGTGACCTGAATCACTTTCTCTTCCAGGTCTCTTAAGACCTGAGGTGGGGCTGGTAGGGGAGGAGGGAGGAAATATCAATGAAGGCAGCTTCAAGAAGCTGAACAAGGCAGGGGCAGTTGAAATGGCGAGGAGGCTGACATTTCCCTCCATTTTCATAGACGAATTTAAGAGTCACAATATACAGGTAATGCAAAGTCCTGCTATCACTAGACTATGGCTGTAAAATAAGGTAACATTTCCTTTTAAATGCTCAAATTCCAGTAGCTCAGCAGCTCTCAGACTTGGCTGGAATCAACCTTAGCTTGACCTGGGGAGCTTTGAAGAATCCTAGGGCCTGGTACCACCCCCAACAGGTGGAGCCTGCGATCTAGGATTTGCAGAAGCTCTAGAGGGCCACTGTTAGCAGAAGGCCCACCAGTTCACTGCCTGTAGATTGGATCCATATCCTGCAGCTGTGCCTAGGATCCCCCAGGGATTCGCTCACTTGGGCCTGGAGTAGGGCCATGATCTCTGGCACAGCCTCCTGGCCAGGGTACTAGGCCACTCCTCCGGGAACCTCCAGCCTCAGGAGATGGCGCTGTTCCTAGGACTGCGGGTTCTGAGTGTATGATAGGCTGTCTTGTAAGTTCCCACAGAGAAGCTGAGGTAGGACAGTCCTCCCAGGCCTTCCTGAGGCCCCAGGACAGTGAAGGGAAGCATGCCAAAGCACAACGGACAAGCCCTGAGGATGAGGTGGCTCCCAGGGTGCACAGAGCCAAGCCTGTCTTTGAGACCCTCCCAGGACTTCCCACTGACCTCCCAGGAAGAGCCACCTCACCTCTGCCCAGGAGTGCTCTGGACATTACCCCTTATAGAGTGGACCCCACCTCCCTCTCTCATCCAGCTCTAAGACCTGACCTGAACCCCCAGTTCCAGCCCCAGGATTATCAGTAGTGGGAAGGTCCACTCTTCACAGGGAAACCATCCAGGGTGCCCCTTGTAGCCTCCAAAGACGTTAGGCCACAAATGTGGAATGTCAGCACTTTCAGGGTAACTCGGCTCTCATCAGTCTTGCTGAGCTGTAGTCTGTGGCACGGCCTTCTCTGCTGGTGGGGTGGAGGGAGACTATTCATGACTGTCTTGCTCACAGTCTGCACCTTCACTATGATCTCTGGAGAACAACCAACCAAATAGTGCAGACATTAATAGGCGACGGTTCACAGCCACAGCCAGCCTGACAATAGCCGTGTGTCTTCTTCCGAAGGTACAGACTCCGGGATGGGGCGCACCTTACAGAATTTTGAATATAAAGTGGTTATAAAAATGAATGAGAAAAAAAACCCACAACAAACCGCAAATTTTAAAATGCTGAAAAATACCTTAGCACAAAATCTAGGAAAATGACCTAATATTTTAATTAGTTAATAGCCTGACACATCTCTGCTTTTCTCCTTTTTTTGAAGTGAGAGGGTGTTTACTCCTAACATGTCTCTGCTTTTGCCTATTTTTTCTTTTGGCTTGATTGCCTACCATATTCTACAGAGAGAACAAAAAGATAATATTTTCTATTTGGCATAATTTTAAGTTAGCATAATTTCCTTCAGCCTGATGGATCAAAATTTACTTCATCTGGAACCATAGACTTCATCAGGACAAGATGTGTCAGAATATATTAAGATGGGATCTGACACATTGGGTTACATAAAATATGTGACTTCCATGGAGATGTACTCAATGTTGGGATTATTTTATAGCTTATGTCCCACAAACACAGAGATTCTGGTACATAGAATCTCTATCTAAAAATATTTTATCTAAAAAAGAGAAAAGACTACGGTGTATTTATAATTGTATAAGTTTCCTTATTCAGACTATTCCTGATAAGAGAGAGCATCCCTTCTGACTAGGGTTAATGAGAGCAGAATCCTCTGTTTACAATTTTGTACATCTGGGGATTTAAGGAGTTTTCCACAGACCGGCTACTGGTTCGTGCACTTCAAGTTTGCTTCTCCTCCTACCCACAAACTTCTGTGGCTGAGTGCCTCCAGATGTGTTCATGTTACAAGCAGACTGTGGGTGTTTCATCCTCATGGCCAGAGGCTGGTAGGAGCGTTGCTGGAGGACATTCCTCCACCAGGACAGTTGGCAAGGACTCATCCGCACATGGAAGTGATTGCTGACCATATAAATGAATCCCCCTAAACCCAAACCAAATGTGTCCCAGCTTTTTTCCTTTGCTGGATCTCCCAAATGCCGTGGCCACTCCACCATCTCCTGGCCTGAAAGAGGGTGCGACACAGAGGACTTTTGGATAGACATGGGCAGTGGTCTTACTCAGCGATGGTTAAAATACCTTCTAGGAATTTTACATATGACCATGTTTCCAGGGGCTGCAAATTGA